CCTAACACTGTCCTCAAACTGATTTCCACCCATATCTGAGCCTATCAAGGCTATTTCAAGGTCATGTAGTCTTAGTAACAATTACCCATCCATTCACAGTCATAGCCCTGCTCTTTTGGGGAACAGACACAATGCCCCAATTCAGTAAGAATAAACCAGACTGATAGAGATGATGTTTCAGAAGGGAGAAGCTAACAAGAAGGAGTCCAGTTATCCTGGTTTGGCAATAAGTGATAAATAACATGATCCTTGTACTTTATTCTGTGAGGCCATCAATTTGGGATGCACCACATTCATATCAGTTTTTTAGGAGAGTGAAGTGAAGGAGAGAGAGCCACCTTATTAAATATTAACATCATTTAATATATTTTATTTGTAATAGGAAAATATCTAATAGATATTTTGTATTATGATATATAAGTTGCTTTGTTTCAGAAGCACTCTTTGAAAATGTGCATCTTAGAATGAGGAAATGAAGTAATTGTATGCACAACATAAATGATTCAGCACAAGTGCCAAGGGGGAATTTGTTCATTGGTTCATTTCTCTTTTATTGAGTCATTCTATGTGCCAGGCACAGGCTGTGTCCTGGAATTACAAAATTGAACAAAGCAAAAAACCTTCAGACTGAAAGTTGAGATAGGTATGTAAACAAATGAAGATCCTCTGCGAGTCAGTGTGACTCAGTAGTTTACAACCTGACTGGCCAGGTTCAGGTTGCAGGTATGCTGCTTACTAATTGGGCTTTTGGGGCATTACTTAACCTTTCTGCTCTTGTTTCATGATCTATAAAATGAAGTGGCAATGATTATACTTATTCTTATAAGGCATCAGAAAGAATTACATTAGTTAATGTACATAAAATGCTTCTAATGGTTTGGGGCACGTGATAAAAGCTGGTTCTTAATATTGCTATATATAAGATTAGGGACAATAGGCCTGATAACTGTATGGCAAGTGTTGAAGGAACAGGAATTCATGAGGCAGATAAGGGAGAGAATGGTTTTCTGTCTAGAGGACATGAGGAAAGCATTTCACATTGTAGGAAATTGAGTGAGAAGATGGGATCTGTCAAACCAGACTTAGAATCTTATCATGAAAAAATTTTATTTGTTTAGGTGTAGACAGCAGGACCAAATTCTTCCCAACTTAAGCCTAAAGAGAAGAGGGAAAAGGAGAAGGTAGTTTTGGGGAAGAATGCAAAAAGCATGTAGGAGTAAAACATGTCCTTAACAAAGTCCAGGGCAGCTGCAGGAAATAAGAAACAGGACTCAATCGGCCATCTTCTTAGAGGACCAGCGTTCATTCTGTATCAGCAACAAATATGTGTAAAACAAAGCATTTACCACTATTTTTAGTCCCTTCTTTTCTTTACCCAAAATTGAAATGTTCAGCAAAGAACTTGTCTAACTTGGCCAGGAGAGGGGATGGCATTTTGAATAACAGTCCCCCAACCCTGCAAGACTAAGGGTCTGAGTAGTTTCTCCAAAGGAACAAGAGTCTTATGGCTCCCAGGAGAACAGAGCATGGATACTCCACAGGCTAATAAGATCCAGGAGAGTCTCAGCTGCTCTGCCAAGGAGTTTGGGCTTCATCCTCCAGGCAGAGGGAAGCCAATGGTGGATTTAAGGATGGAGATGATCCATACTTGCATTCTCTTTGGGAACACAATGCACTCTGGAAACTAAGAAATATCATGAAATGGGTGTGACGTGGTTTTGTATCTAGGTTGCAACATAGAAATAATGTATAAGATTCACATCACATTTATTGACAGGCAATACCTTGGATGTTAAAGAGAGGAAGAAGTTTAGGAACCACTTAGTAAATCCAGGTTCACTTAAGAGGTAACTGAATGGAGATTCAGTCTGTGGCTTTCCTTAGGTTACACGTTACTTATTGGCATTCGAACTTGAAACAGATTTTCTTGGTCAAGCTACAGCATTATCAGCTGAAACCATTGCAGTAAGACCCCATTTTAAAGGCTCTTTCATCAGTAAAGTACTATGTTCTAGCCCAGATCCTGTTGTGTCTTGGATCATGTTTACAATGAATACATGGAGGGCATTTCTTTATTACGGAATGCTGATGGTATCTTCCACTCTCTTTCCTTTTTAATTTATTCAGCAAGGACCTAGTACTTATCAGGTGCTATGTTGACAAAGGATACAAAGATAATGTAATGATGTTACTAAAAATAGTAACAATAATGATAGAAAACACATAGCACCTATTATGTGTAAGACAATTTTCTAAGCACTTTTCAGATGTTAACTCATTTAATCATCACTTTAAAAAGACTGTGAGCAAGAATGGGGAGTGACTGGTGAGGGTTCAGGATGATTTGGGGTTTAGGGATGATGAAATGTTCTAAATTTAGTTTGTTGGGGATAGTTGTATAAATCCATAAATATGCTAGAAAACACTAAAATGAACACCATAAATGGGCAAATTTTATGGTATGTGAATTATGTCTCAATAATGCTGCTAAAAATAAGATTATAATGCAGAAGATATGTTATTAGCCCTATAATGCATATAAGTAATCTAATGCACACAGAAGTTATCTGTTTTATTCAAGGTCACAAAGCTCATAAGTGACAGAGATGAGATTCAAGTTCTGAGTCTGTACATTAAATACTATACAGTTCCTGACCTAGAAAAATGAGAAATCTGGGGCATCTTTATAGACATGAAGCAGGAACATCTTGACCTTGTATCTAAATTATGCAGCATACATGGAACACATATTTGGAAAATAAAATATATATAAGGGAAAGCAGATGTGTAACAGAGTTCCTAAGATCTGTCCATGTGCTACTATGTTTGAAGCCTGGTTCTCCTCCTGGTGATGTTGGTATGATCAGAGACATTTCTTAAAGTAAGTCACATTAGAAAAGAAGACAAGGAAGGCAGTTTACTTGTTGCCCATTAACATGACAAGCTAAAGTTGGCCTGTGTGTGTGCGTGTGAGTGGGTGGATGCATGTTATCTGCCAGAAAATTCCTCTCCAGGAAGTCCTGCCAGTTCTTCATTGTATACCCAGCATCTAGAGGGTTGAACACCCAGGGGATAAACGGATGATGACGAATGAATGACTCTCAACTAGTTAAAGAATAGTTTGAGTCCCAACATCCTGTACTTTAGGTTGGCTCAAGTCTGTACCATAAAAGAAGGGAAAGGAGCTGCATATGGTGATCTGAGGAATGCAGTCATTAAATGACAAGTCATTGATGAGCACCTGGTGTTAATGAGGCCACAGCTCCAAGTCTATGCAAGTCAACTAGTTCTCATACAAAACCCATTCCAAGAACACAGACTATGATGAAATTGAAGATGTATTTGACTAGTTATGAAAGGGAAGAAAAAAATGAGTGGCTGAACCCAAATTTTCTCCTAGTATAGGAAAAACTCAGTGCATTCCTACTAACAGGGGCTAAGGATAAAGCATTTCCTTAATTAGTACATATTCAACCATTAACAAGTTAACCCCAAATGTAGCAAACAGAAATCGAAAATACTGAAACCAGAATGCAGTACTGAAATTTCAGTTCTACTAACTGGAAGAAATTGCTCCAAGCATGCACTAATTAGGGTAGAAAATGTGACACTTTGTGGTGCAGGAGCTCACAGTACAAGCATTTGTACCTCCCCAAAATTTTTAGCAATTTTGTATCAGTATTTAGCTGAATATTTTATTGATATTTTGTAAAAAAAAAAAAATTGAGTGGAGTGTTCTTCAGGTCCCACACAGAACTTTTCTTTCCTGTGAAAAATTAAAAGAGGCCAGGCATGATGGCCCATGCCTATAATCCCAGTGGCTCAGGAAGCTGAGGCAGGAGGATCACAAATTTAAGGCCAGCCTCAGCAACTTAGCAAAGCCTTACGCAACTTAGTGAGACCCTGCCTCAGAAATTTTAAAAAAAAATGTTTAAAAAGAAACAGTCTGGGGATGAGGCTCAGTGGCCAAGTATCCCGTGGTTTAATCACCAGTACAAAAAAAAAAAAAAAAAAGGTAGATTTTCTTACTAGAATTCAAGATTCCACTTATCACTTAATGACAGAAGAAAAAAACATTCAAATGGAGTAATAAATCCCAAATAATTTATATCTAGCTTTTGCATGATCAAAGAAAAAAGTTAAACACATATTCAAATATGACTCCTACCCACATGGGTCCAATTCCAACACCCACTTCAAACTTTAGACATTTATTTCTTAGCTTGCTTATCACATGTATCAGTGGCAGGAGAACAAAGTAGGTAGTGGTTGGGCATCCATATAAAGTACTTTTCAAATCAAGGCACTTTCAAGAGTTAATAAAGACTCACTAGTTACACTGGGACAACAGAAGTAAACTGAAATCACCCTGGGAATGTGAAGACATTGAAGTCACCCCCATCAAAAACTTGTGGTCCAAGCTCAGACTTTGCCAGCGGGCAGGGACAAACAATTGAAGACTTTTAAGTATTAAATCACCAGAACTTCAAGAAGCTTAGTATAGAAGTGGATTACGTCTGAACTAGAGCAGAGGGTGACTGAGTCCAAAAAAGCCTGAGAGTGTTCTATGGCATCAGGAAAAAAAAAAAATAATGACAGGCCAGGTTACAATGGTGGCAATAAAAACAGAAAACCTATATAAGAGATTAGGCAGTTATGTCATACAAGTTGTAAAACTAGTCCAAGTAGTTAGAAATTATTGCACACCTCTTAAGACTTGATAGGTAAAGATCAGACACAACAGAACACCGGCCAGCAAGAAAAAACAAGGGTTGCTCAAATTCTAGGGCAAAAACTGTTTGATCTCTGCATATCTTTCATACTCCTTGTTCAAGTGAGTGACAGGATCACAAGCATGTACTTCATCCCAGAAAGAACTGGAGCCTTCCACATTCTGCTTGTTACCAGGGAGGCACAGACAAACCAAGAGGTTCTGTCGCTGGCAGGGTAACAAAATACCACCAACAATTGCTCCAGACACCACTTGGTGGCACCAGTACCTTGAACTGCTTGAATGCAACCTGCTCCTCTTGGTATTTCACTGGAAACTCCTAAAGATCTTCAGCCAACCCCCAAGTTCTGCTTTCTCCATTATGACTTCTTCTACAGCTTTCACATCTTCCTCTGTCTATAGAGATCCTGAAAACTAGAGGATGGGAATGTTGAATGTAATAATTATTTCAAAAATCTCTTTACATATATACATACATATAATTTTTGCATACATGTGACCATATCTTTCATACCAGATTTTTTCCTTTTGATTCTTCCCTTTTTGCTAAGCTTTCTCACCTGAACACTGCCAAGTTCCCATGCCCCTCATCCCTCCCCTTTCAGAAAACTCATTTTATCCACCTAGTGTGTATCTATCCATATTTTTCCCATGATAGAACCTTATACAGATTGATGATGATGATGATAAATAGATTATAAAGAAACAAATGAGCTGAGTGTGGTGACCCTATAAACCCAGCAGCTCAGGAGGCCAAGGCAGGAGGATCGTAAGTTCAAAGCCAGCCTCAACAATAGCAAGGCATAAGCAACTCAGTGAAACCCTGTTTCTAAATAAAATACAAAATAGGGCTTGGGGATGTGGCTCGGCGGTTGAGTGCTCCTGAGTTCAATCCCCGGTACCTCCTCCCCTGCCACTGGCCAAAAAGAAAAAAAGAAAGAAACAAATAAATATATATTGAGGTTCTTTTGGGTCATGGATTTGCCAAGATGGGCTCACATTATTTTCTCTTCCTTTCATCTTGTTTCTCTCTCAGTAACACCAGCTGGTAATCCTTTTAGGTCAACAAGTACTGCTCCTCTTCACTCTTTGGTATGGAAGTGCCTCTTTTCTCATATCTTTACTAGCTATGCATGGCTTTGCTCTTTTGCTTTTTGCCAGTCTGATGGGTGAAAAATGAGCATTCATCATTATTTTGTTTTTTTGTTTTCCTGACTGTGATATTTTACCATCTTTTCAGGCTCTGGCCATTTTGATTTGGTCCCTTGTGGCTTTTCCCCAAACCAAGGATTTTTTTAATAAAGAATTTTTACTCAGTGAAGAAGCTAAAAGAATATTGCTCAAACACATTTTAGGAAGTAGAAAAAAATAGGATTTATCATAGTCAGAAACTTCTATATGTAGTGTCGAACACAAATTAAAATCTATAAAAGCAATATAATCTTTCAAGATTTGTTCATAAAATAAAACTTGAAAATAAAAGTAGAAACATCTACTCCAAAGGCAGAATATGGTTATTTTTCTCTTCATAGGAACCTCTCAGAGAGTGCTTTATTTCCAATTGGGCAACATGCTTTGTTGTTATATAGGTTTAAGTAGAATTAGGCTTTAAAAAGAACCAGTCCCATTTATTTGAGTGCCATTCAAAATACTGTATGAAAGAAAGAAAGAACAAAAATCAGTAGGGAAAGAAATTGTATTTTTAAGCTTCTAAGAAGATTTTATAAACAATGGAGCCCAGAGAACAAACAAAGCCATAAAATGACTTGACAGTGTCCTTTTAAGTGAACATATGTGATTTTATGCATCCATATGTGTTCACATATGCCCTACATATGCGCAGCCAGCTGCCAGCCAACCAGATTGTTCAATGTGTATGTTTACTGTAAAACAAGTCGAAAGTGTTTGGTCTCTTTGTTAGAGAAACAGCTCATAATTTCAAGTATACAAATGTCAGTTGTTTCTCATTTCTTTTTCTCCCTAGCCAAATGAGCTGTTGATGCTCAATTTGGCAGGATTCTAACTGAGGCTGACTCTTGGCCAGCCACAGAAACCTGGTCCTGAAAGTTTGGGAAATTTTTACAAGAATAGGGAGCTTTTTCTTAATGGCTCCCTAAACCATCGAAAGTTTTCTTAGAGCCTCAGCCAGTTCTTTCCCACTCACTATTACAAAGAATAACCACTAACATCCTTTGGACTCTAATGGATGGAGTCCGGGTGTGGCATGAGGGTATCAAGTCCTCCCATACTTCAGTCAATATTCTTTCAAACCTTCTTTTTACAGAGAAGAGCCAGGGCGGGGTAGGAGGAGCAATGTAAACATTTTATTTGTGACAATTCAGCTCTGAGGTCTCCATATCTTGTCTTCTATTTCACCTTTTATGGCAGTTCCCTGAAGATTGATGAAGTGAAATTTTGATCATATTTCCAATTGAAAGTAAAGGTTTTAAACCAATTGTACATCTGCTTTCACAATCACAGTATTAAACCTAGTTATCACTGTTAGCATTCTCTGCTGCTCCAAGAATAGGAAGGAAAAACATGTACAGAGGCATATTGGGGTGAAAAGATCTTGTACTTTGGAGTGAGGGAGTCTGAGTCTGGCATTTTCTCTATCCCTATCTTCAAAATTATCATTATTAAATCATTTAAATTTATGATTCTAATTATCATATTATTTGGAGCATCAAATTGTATGCAATTCAACAGTAAATAACATTGAAGTAATTTCTCCTTTTTGTCTCTTGAGCTATATTTTTCATAGACTTACAGAGTTTTAATTATATCAATCTCAGTGGTGAGCTGGAGAATCCTGACTATTTGGCTATAGACAAGCAGTTTCACACTTCCAACTCCAGTTGCCTCATCAGCTAGATGGGAACAGCAATGACTATTTCCTGTTTCATATGAAACTAAAACAAGATAACCCAGGTGAAGAACAATGATACAGTAAGTCCTAGGTAAATGCAAGTTTTCTTTCTTCCCTTTTTGCCTTCTTCTCTCTAGTCCCTACAAAAACAGAGATAGACGAGAACCAGGAATATTTCATGTTCGAGGCAATAATTCAAAGGTCACCAATCTCAAAGGGAGAAAAGGATGAACTCAACACAGAAAGTGAAATTAAACCGTTACTTTTGCAATCCTTAGCAGAGACAGGACTGATAAGAATGTGTGGACATACATTTGAACACATACATAAATGCATGCTCATTTATTTAGCAACCTTTTTTGTCTATAACAGTTGCCTAGCAAATGGTGAATATCCATAAATACTTCTTAGATACAGGAGTGAAAAACAAGTCCTTAGAAAGCCCACCATCATAATTGCTTCCCAATTGCTTAGTTTCCTGGTATTGGTTTGTGATGATCCCATGCTTTCCAAGGTGAATGTCACAGTAAGGAAGAAGTAGAGATATCTGTTGTTAGAGGCTGTTGTGCAGCCCCTGAAAAACAACTGAGAGAATTCCATCCACCTTCCAGCCTGCCACCACAGGCTCTTTCTACATCTCATCACCTCCTATTCCCTCTTCCCCTTTCCCCATTCAACCTTTCTGAAGCTTTCCAGTATTTCCTCATGACTGAAAAATAAAATTCCTATTGCTGCAGGTGTCCATGTATTCAGGACAAAAATGAGCCACTGCTGACAATTGTGAAGAAAGAAAAAACAGCTGTTTGCATCTGGATGTGGAGTATGAAAGAACAGCTGCTGGCAGCTGTGGCAGACAAGAAAGTCAGCAAATGAACAGCTGCTGGCGATTCAGTCTAGTAGGCCGCCCAGAATCACTGAACTCTAGAAGAAGCATACACAGCTCAACGTAAGTGCTTTATTGTATCCTGCTCTTTATTAAATCTTGCTTATTTTTCATTAGAGACATTCCCTACTGAGGGACCTCAGCAGGAATAATTACCACCATTTCCCCATCCATAGCCCTTTGGAAAAGCAACCTAATAGCAGTAAAATGGCACAGACATTTTCTTCCTTTAAGGCATACCTATTTTTACAAGATGGAAGAAGACTATTGTTGGCAAAGGAAGGCACACCAATCAACAGTGGAACTATCACAAGATTGGGCAAAAATAATTCTGTTTTACAGAATATTATGGTCATTTTAATAATCACACATTTTAGCATTTCAGTAGGCCACAATGTGACAATGTAAGCATAACTTAAACTTGGAAAAATACATTTTAAAACCCTGTCAATGGTTTCCAAGTATCTTTTTTAATATGCATGTTGTCCTGTTGACATGTATATTTATAAATATCTCCCTCTCCTTTCTTTCATATTTTTAATAAAGAAAGAGGAAAATATCTTTGTATCATGCATCAGGTTCGGGTTTTGTGCTTCATGCTGTTTTTTTTCTAAAATCAGTTGGAATTCGAGATAAATCTGAGTGACCTCAAAATATGTCAGTTTATTCCTCATCTTGCTCCTCACAGAAGAAAAACATTCTCATGACTCCAACTTACAGAATTTAGACACAGTGCAAGAAAAATAAAAACTACCTTTGATGTTATTCATTGAATAATTGTATACAACTAAATGCCCTCAAACAAAAGAATAAGTTAACAAATTTTATAATCTACCTGTATGCATTTTTTTCTTTTTTATTAGAACTTTATAGTTTTATATAGCTAGCCACCTGTATTTATAAAAATTATGGTTTGGAACACTGCAAATGGGAAGATGTTTGTGATGTAACATTCATAGAGAAGAATTTGCAAAGATCATTTACAAAGAAAAAGTTGAATGCAAAACATATATAATAATTAACACTAAATAAAAAGGCAGGAATAACAGTATGAAAAAAAAATTTAATGGCAGTAGTCAAGATAGGATAGCAGAGAGGAAGTTTGTAATTTCTTTTGTTAGTTTTTCTTTATGCTGATAAATTATATAATATAAAAGATTTAAATAATAAAAATATTATGAAAATAATAAAGTTACTGTAAACTCCAGGAGAAAAGGAGCCCTTGCCTGTTTATCACCTTTTACCTCTAATACCAGTCACAGTGTTTAGATACCAACAAATATTTGTTAAATAAAGTAAATCAAATGAAAGAATCACCTATATTTTTAAGCTGCTATTGTGAAGAAGAAAAATAAAACCACTTCTTCCAATGGCATAAGGGTGACTGAGAAAAACTCAGTCTTGCTCTACTCAAAAATAAATAAATAAATAAAAATAGAAACATCCCTGAAGAGATAAACTTTAGCCTCTTACAAATGGTTCTACCATGGTGAGATATATGGCCCAGCCAGACCTGATGAACTCCCATATTCTTAATTGTAAGGGAAAGAGAAACCAATTAATTCCTAGATGAGCTTCTAACTGTAAGATGTGGTTATATGACTTGGATTGGTGGGGAGGGGGCACGGGGAAGGGCTGCCAAACGACTAATGTCACAAGCACTTGACCCTTAATTTGCCAACCAAAGTAACCCAAAAGAAAGTTCCCAGGTATTTTATGCTCCAGCTAAGTACCTTCCCTTAAAGCAAAATTGAACAGTGTTTCTATTCTCAGCTGCCTTTTCAAGTCTTGGCTTTATTCCCTGGTCTGGCACTGAAGGAGTGCTTGAGTTTTCAGCAAGCTGGTAAGAGGAGGAGATGCTGCCCACCCTCCATTTTACTGCACCAAACTCCTGCAGCAGCAGACTCCAAAGTTTAAAGACTTTTCTTTTTGTCAAAGGCAGCCTCTGAATCAGTCCTGTCTACTAATACCTGTTCCCTGGGGAAACTGTGATACACTCATCATTCCCCTATGAATATTTTTATACACAATCTGTTTTCCAGATATTTTGAAACTTCCCCAAGTCCTGCTTGTAAAAAGTGTAAATGTTCCATGTTAACATAGATACTCCTGTATTCTGATGTGGAGTAACTCAAGACCCTGACAAACCTGTATGTTATCCAAAATATGTTTGCAGATTTTTCCCTTTTGCCTATAAAATAACATTAAAGGAAATGTCTTGATCCATAAATACAACTGTTGAGAATTTAAGTGACTTGCACTTCATCATCATCATCACCAAAACTGTAAAGTGGTTTTTTCAATGAAAGGCCAAGATCATAATGTACTGGGCATATTCAATAAATATTTGAGTAACACATTGGGGAGTTATAGTCACTAGGTCTTTGTCAATCTTCTCTAAAGGGACCATGATGAGGTTCTCTATAGACATGATTTCTGTATCATAAAGGTGATGGCTCATTTTATGCATCAATTTGACTGGGCCACAGGTAATCCAGAAATTCAGTCAAATATTATTCTGAGTGTTTCTGTGAGAGGCTTTGGGATGAGATACACGTATAAATTAGTGGGCTGAGGAAAGCAGGTCAACCCCTGTATTATAGGCAAGCTTCATCCAAATAGAAAAAAAAAGCTGGCCCTCCTACAAATGAAAAACAAAACAAAAAAAAAACTTCCTGTTTTCTGGTCTTTGAATGGGGGCACTGGTTTTTTTCCTTTGAACTCACCTGAAACATTGAGTCTTCCTGGGTCTTAAGCCTACTGGCTTTTAAGCTGGAACTGCACCTGACTCTTCTGGTTCTTTGACCTTCACCCTTGGACTGGAACTAACTTGATGACTCTCCTAGGTCTCCAGTTTGCTGACTCACCCTACCAAACTCCATAGTCATGTGAGCCAATTCTTTATATTTCTTCCTATATAGAATATATATATACGTGGTTTTTTCATATGTATGTTCATACACACTCACACCCTATTGGTTCTGTTGCTCTTGGTTAATACAATAAATATTTCAACAAGTAAAATTCAATCCACTGATATCAAATAAATGCTTTCTCCTATGTACATATATGAATAAACCACAGCGAATCTCCACATCATGCACAACCCCAAGGCTGGGATCCTAATTAGAATAAGATGTACTCCATGCTTATATAAATATGTCAAAATATATTCTATTGTCATGTACAACTAAAAAAGAACAAATTAAAAAATAAAAATTAAAAAAAAATAAATGCTTTCATGATTACTTTCAATAGAGTCAGGGAAGAAATGAAAGTGGGATCCAGATTCCAGGATAGAATAGGGTGGAACTAAAGAGTTCCTGGTGGAGACAAAATGGATATCCTATGAATTAGATATTCCAATGAGGGGGATTGGAATGCCTGTCCTTGGGAATCCCTAAATTCAGAGTTATATAGTGTGAAAAAAAAGAACATGGGTTTTAGCATCAGTCTAAACTATCTGAATTGAGTTGTCTGGGTTCAGTTGTGTTTTGCCACTGCTCACTGTGTGATACTGGAATCATCTCTGAGCCTCATGTCCTCACTTGAACATATACAACAATAATGTCCATCCAAAGAATTGTGAGAAATAAGTGATGTAACATCCAATAGTTCCTGACACACCGTAAACTTCATATAAATAGCTTCAACTCTAGTCAGGCAGTAATCTTGCTTTAAGTATGCTTATAGTTACATAGATCTTTCCCAGTTGTAGATCTCTAAGAAAACTTGTTAAGCAAATGAATAAATACAACCAACACAGCTGGAGCACTTACCCTTTTGTACAGAATGAATGATGCCTGCCTCCGTGAAAGTGTCATGACTTCTAAAGGCATTTTGCAAAGTCACAAATTCATTTTGGATGTTTTGACTTCATAAGCTTTAGTCAGGCATTCAGGTACATACAGATCTACGGCTTAGGAGAACAATCTGCATCAGAGAGGTGGAGCTGGGATAATGAGAAGGCAAATGTGCAGAACAAAAAACCCAAAGAGCCCATGTCAGAATTCTGAGAGGTCTTAACTTTGAAATCAATCCCCAAAGGAGCATCCAGAGAAAAAGAAGAAAAGCCAAAAAGTGTGGTGCCACAGAAACCCAGAGATACAAATGCTTCCAAGAGGGAATAGTTAAAATACCAAATATTGTTGAAAAGTCCTATAAAACAAATATTTACAGATTAATCCATCTTCCCTGCCTGAATTATTCATCAAAAACACCAGCCTGATCCTTTTTTCTTTCTAAAAGCCTCCTGTGTTTCTTGACCTCTCACAATATCCTCACTCCACAGCATTGCAAGCATAGTCCTCTGTACTTTATTTCATCCACAGACTTCCAACAACACTGCCCTCACACAAATCCGATTTTCTGCTAAACATTTATATGTACTTCAGGCTCCCTTCCCCTTATCTCAGTTTCTGGATTGCTCTTCATTCAAGATGCACCTGAATAACAGTTATTTATACATCTTTATTGACTCCTTCAAGCTAAATCCTCTGCTTTCTGTGCACCACAGCAGTTTGTTTGCACATGCAGGGGATGCTGCATTTGGTTACACTGTGCTCAATGTACAAGCATGAGTAAAGTCAACAACTTTAATTTTATCATAGATCTCATAACACTAATTATGGATTCACTTGTCTTTTTCCCTCCTAGATGATAAATCCCTCATGAATAGAGTTGGATTCTCTTTCACCTTTGTAATCCATTCATGAAGCAAGTCTCCCAATAAAGGCTTATATCCTTGTGCAATATTTTGATGCCAAATAAATGATAAAAGCAGCAGATAGAGCTAAAAAAATAACTTTACCAATTGTATGAGCTTTGAAAGATGTGTTAGCTTTTCTTTGCTGTGAACCAATATCTGACTTGAACAACTTAAAGGAGGAAATTTTAATTTTCACCCATTGTTCCAGAGATTTCATTCCATGGTTGGCTGGCTCCATTGCTTTGGGTCTGAGGCAGGGCAGTACATCTTGGCAGAAGGGCATAGTAGAGGAAAGCTACTCAGCTCATAGAAACAGAGAGTTGGGGAAGGCAGGAAAGAAGAGAGAGAGGGAAGAGAAGAGAAAAAGAAGAGGAGCTAAGGACAAAATATACCCTTCTAAGGCACACACCCAGTGTCCTACTTCCTCCAACTAAGGTTTATGTCCTATAGTTTCCACCACCTACTTATAATCCATTACAATTATTAATCCACCAGATGGATTAATCCACTGACAAGTTTAGTGCCTCATAATCCAATCAGTTCCTAAAAGCCTCACCTCTGAGCATTTCTGCCTTAGGGAACCAAGACTTTAACACAAGAGTGTTTGGGGAACATTCCAGATCCAAGCCATAACAAATGAACACATATAACTTAAATTCAGGTTCTATCAAAACAATATTCCATTTCTTGTCATATTCTCACTAAACATTAGGGAGCAAAGTTTTATAAGCCTTTCTATTTTTACCCAGTGGGAATAACATTATTTAGGGACAAGATTTTCACTTTCTTCACTTGTTAATCTCTGTGTTTTGACAGTTGAAGTACTTATATCCATTTCACTATGAAAGAACAGAGCAAGAAAACTCTTACTGGTTTATTATAGAAGCAGATATTGACTCCTGTTAAAAATACTTTAAAATAATAGCTTAAAATCATGATTAAGTATGATTGTTCTCTGTAAATTTACATATTTGGATATTTAAAAATATCTAAAAATATGAACTGGTCTGTGTACATCATGGTACATAATGTTTATCTGTTTATTTTCTTTAAAAAACTAAATTTCAACAATAAATTCATCCTACTCTCAAACAAAAAGAACTTATAAATTTATTTTCTAACCCATGTGAGTCTTTTGGATCATTTTCTTTCATAACGTGCTTAAGTCACTCAAGCCATATTTAAAACTACAATATGACAACTGTTTATTGTTCTCTGACTTACTATAAAGTAAATATTTGTTTAACTTTATTTATAGCATGTTAAGACTGAAATTTGATGCAAAGTGTTTAGAACATTTTTCTCCCAGAAAACGAGGTCAAATGTTGAGATGTCCCACCTTAACATTGACAAATGTTTTCTTATCCCTGAAAACTCAATCTGTTCCAAATTAAACAATCTCTGTCTAGTAAGCACTCAGTCTTTTAAAGTTGCTTTCTCTCTCTTGCTCCTACCAAATACATCATCTTGGTGTACATGGGCACTGACATGACTTCATGGTGACAAGTGGGTTTTTTTGTTTTGTTTTGTTTTGGTGGGGGTGGGGTGGGGTGGTGGTGCAGCTTGGATCTCAGTCACCATCTGAATTCTGTTTCTGTTTTTTTTTTTTTTTCCTTCTTTGAGATTGTTGAACTGATTTCTGATTAAGTGAATTGGACCTGTCTGTCTTTCCTAGCATTGTTCTGGTATTCACTGCTGAAGCCAATAACAGCAGCCAATCCTCTGATCTTGAGCTCTTTGGGATAGCCCACGGTGCTTACCCTTTAGTTCCCAGCCCTTTTAATCTAGGCCGACCTTCTTATCTCTCTGACATCTTCCCAGTCACCTTTCCCTTGCCTATCCTGCCCTGATCATGCAGCTTTCTCACCATTCCTTGAACACATGTGGTATGTTCTCATATCAAAGCTTTTGTCCTATGAGTCCCCCTATGGAAGTCATGACTTGCTTCCTTGCTGTTTTGGAATCTTTGTTGCAATGCGCCTTCTCTGTGACACATCCCTGACCATCTTATTTAAAACTTGACACCACTGCAGAGTTTCCACACTCCTTTCCTTGTTTTATTTATGTCCATGGCACTTATCACCATCCAATATATCAGATGTTTTAATTACTTGATTTTATTAAATAACTGTCTTTTCTCTATCACTTTAGGGTCTCTATAGAAAGTAGTACTTGAAAGTAGTACAGATGACCTTCAGAATTAATTCAGTACCTGCACCATGACCTTATGATTGAATGAAGTGCATCAACTCCTAAAACATGGCAAGCAATGAATGGAACAATAAACAATAAGATTTTGAGTGGGCTACAGTCAGCCCCATCCACTCACACCCTCCTCCTTTTGATTTCCAAGTTTGTCCTCTTCCCCAGTCTTCACTGCATTTTATTTTAAAATTTCAAAGGTAATAACAAATTACAAAGATGTCTTTTATCTTTTTGTTGTTAAAAATGTATTGAGTGAATATGATGATCATTATTATCCAAAGTACAAATATAAAGGCACAAATTGGTGTGAATATACTGTGTATACAACCAGAGATATGAAAAAATGTGCTGTATATGTGTTGTAAGAATTGTAATGCATTCCACTGTCATATATAAATTTTAAAAACATTTAAAAAGATTAAAGCAAAAATAAATTAAATGAAAAAGAAAAAATGTATTGAGTGCCTACTGAAATTTTTGTATTAGTGAATTTAACATGAGCTGCTGTAACAAAACATTTTATGTAGAAGCTTATTTCTTTTTGTTTTTATTTTTTAAACATATGAAATTTTATTGTTGTTTTCACTGTTATTTTTTTTATTTCTTACATACATGACAATAGTGGAATGCATTACATTCATAATTATCCATTCACAATTGTGCTGTAAATGTAGAAGCTTATTTCTAACACACACACTCAGCCCCGTGTAATGTACCCAGTTCATGGAAGAGTTTTCCCATTCAAGGACTTAAGGACCCAGGCATCTTCCATCTTATGGCTCTTCTCTCCTTATTGGCTGTTGAGAATCCAGATGGGAAGGGAAAGAAAAGGTAAAATAGACCTAACAGATGCCTAACTTCTTTGACCACACACTTTCTTCTATGCTACGGGTCAAAACTAGATAATAGCACAATTGAATGTAAAGAATCATGGGGACTGTAGTCCCTTCCTGGGTCACTGTTTCCCTGAGACAATTTCACTCCATAGAAGGAAAGGCATGGGTTTACTGGACAGCAAGCTATGCACAGCTAGTACATGCTATGTAAACATCCATATTCGTTGCTTCACTTATTCTTTCAACATCCTTACAAGGCATTATTACCATTCATTACATGAACATTGCACAGAAAAGAATGGCTCCCAGAAAGATGGACTGACTTCCAACGAGTTTAGAATGTGACTTAATTCATGAGAATTTGCAATTTTAACACAGGCTCTATTGATATAATTCACATATCATACAGTTCACTGACTTAAAGTGTACAATTCAGTGTTGTTTTTTGTATGTTCAGAGTTGTGAGACCATCACCACAATCAGAACATTTTCATCTCCCATTATCACTTCTCCCCATTTCGTCCACCATCTTTAAGTCCTAAGCAACCACTAATCAATTTTAAACCTCCATAAATTTCCCTATTCTGGACATTTAATATCAATAGAGTCATTCAGCTTATGGTTTTTTATGACTGTCTTCTTACCATGATATTTTTCAAAGTTCATTCATATTATAGAATATCTCAGCACTTTATTTCTTCTTATTGCCCAATCATATTCCACATCTTGTTTACCCATTAATCAGATGACTCTTGAACCATTTTTTTCTTTTCTTTTTTTTTTTTTGCTATTGTAAATAATGCTGCTAGGAATATTTGTGAACAAGTAGCTTAACCATTTTACAATCCCACCACCCATATATGAGTATTTCTATTTCTCCATATCCTTGCCAACATTTTTTGTTTTCTGTCTTTTTTAAAAAAATTATTTTAGTGAAGTTCTTATTTTGAAAGATGACTTGGTTTCTGCCAACATCAAGGCTTAGAATTTTGTTTCAGTTACCACTGTATTAAACCAGATAAGGAGAGGTAGGTCTAGGATAAAAATTAAAAGAATGAAGTTTGTGCTCTTACTCCCAACCAGTTGTTGCCACCCTAAGTTGTTACCAGGGTATCCAGGCATGCAAAACTGTGGTAAGCCACATAATGCTTGCTCTCCTTG